TTGACCTCTCTGGTCTGTAGTAATGTTGACTCTCTGGTCTGTAGTAATATTGACCTCTTGGTCTGTAGTATGTTGACCTCTATGGTCTGTAGTAATGTTGACCTCTATGGTCTGTAGTAATGTTGACCTCTATGGTCTGTAGTAATGTTGACCTCTATGGTCTGTAGTAATGTTGACCTCTATGGTCTGTAGTAATGTTGACCTCTATGGTCTGTAGTAATGTTGACCTCTATGGTCTGTAGTAATGTTGACCTCTTGGTCTGTAGTAATGTTGACCTCTCTTGGTCTGTAGTAATATTGACCTCTATGGTCTGTAGTAATGTTGACCTTATGGTCTGTAGTAATGTTGATCCTCTAGGTCTGTAGTAATGTTGACCTCTATGGTCTGTAGTAATGTTGACCTCTATGGTCTGTAGTAATGTTGACCTCTCTGGTCTGTAGTAATATTGACCTCTATGGTCTGTAGTAATGTTGACCTCTATGGTCAGTAGTAATGTTGACCTCTCTGGTCTGTAGTAATGTTGACCTCTATGGTCTGTAGTAATGTTGACCTCTATGGTCTGTAGTAATATTGACCTCTATGGTCTGTAGTAAGTTTGACCTCTATGGTCGTAGTAATGTTGACTCTTTGGTCTGTAGTAATGTTGACCTCTCTGGTCTGTAGTAATGTTGACCTCTATGGTCTGTAGTAATGTTGACCTCTATGGTCTGTAGTAATGTTGACCTCTATGGTCTGTAGTAATGTTGACCTCTATGGTCTGTAGTAAAGCAGGATATTATAATGTATTTTAATTAAACTATACAAACTCGCCTTTATTTATATTAATGAACGTATATACATTTCAGGAAATGTTGTTGGCGTGAAGAAGGAAGAAGTGTTGGAGTGATGGGCTGGCTAGTGGCTGGTGTTGGGTGGTGGCTGTTGTTGTTGGTGCTGACACCAGCCTACACAGAAGTTACCAGGGATCACAGTGTCCCATCATGGGGCCGGGAGATACAACCACGCCGTCAACACCCTCCTGAGGCTACTAGCACGCCCTCAGACATGTCCTCCCGAAGAGCCTGGTGGGAGGAGATCACTGAACATGGTCATCAACTCTCCCAACCCACTACCAACCATTACAAGACTTCCCATCACCCCATTAGAGACAATCTTGGTTACACTCGTCATACCTCACAATATGGCCGTCGGGTTGCAGTTAGAGACGGTTCTCTTTATGGACTTAAAGACGCGTCCAGACGGACAACATGGCCCCAATACGCTACCCAGCACAATTTGCGGACGCCAAATCAAGATTCCAGGCTGCCACACCGCCGAGTGGAGAATTATTTGTCGCAGCGTGGCCACATACCTACTGGATTCCAGGCATCATATTGGCCCTCGCAGCACGAAGGCGAACATAGCCGAGGCTTCAAGACATTGCACCCTGGCCAGCATGACAGCTCTGGGGGCAGACATTATCCACATAATAACCGAGCCTCCACACAGCATCAGCAGAGCACTATACCTCAACACCACCGCCAGCCTCACATTGACCACCGCCAGCCCCGCAATGACCACCGCCATCCAAACAGTGACCACCGCCAGCCGCACAGTGATCTCCGCCAGCCGCACAAGGATCATCGCCAGCCCCACAATGATCATCGCCAGCCCCACAATGATCATCGCCTGCCCCACAATGATCTCCGCCAGCCCCACAATGATCATCGCCAGCCCCACAATGATCTCCGCCAGCCCCACAATGATCATCGCCAGCCTCACAATGATCTCCGCCAGCCCCACAACGATCACCGCCAGCTCCTCACCGGCCATCACCAGCCCCACAGTGACCATTCCGAGTCCCACAGTGACCACTGGCAATCCCACAGTGGGAGAAGAGAAGTAACAGCAGCAAAATCAACCAAAGAAGAACAGGATCAGATCAAAAGCGAGGAAACACGCAGGAACACATACACCGCCCACCGTCCCTTACATTCTTCAGGAGGTCACAGACGACCACCAAACATCGTGTTGATCATGACTGACGACCAGGACGTTGAACTAGGTAAGTAACTGTATTAATACCAACCTCTTTAAGTCAGTTTTTCACTGGGTTGAAGGAACCTTCAAGAGTGAAGAACGTAATATAGGAACACTGCAGCAGGCTTCATGACTCAACCCTCAGACTAGGCTTGCAGCCTGTCCAGATCCCTTTGTAATCTTATCTGATTCTCATTTGTTTGAGAAGAACGTTACTCACATATTTGTTTATTCTCGTTTTAAAGATACCCAGACTCTTAGCCTCTGTTACTCTAGAAGCAGACACTTGTGCCACACTTAGGTACCCTTATTGTGGCAACGTTTTGCAAACCAGTGGCTTCCTTAGTCCAATCCAGAGTGCAACATCTGGGTAACTTTATTGTAGACATAACGCCATCCAGTGGCTTTATCGATACAAATTCTAGGACATAACTTGAAGACAGTAGAACTATATACAGAAGATGAGGTAATCAGTCCCTCAGCCTTGGAGTTGGTGTGGAGAGCACCGTAGTCCTGGAAGTTCTGGAGCACAGACAAGAAGGCTGGTGCTTATATACTGCGACAGGTGGAAAGGGACGGGTAGCAGATGAGGGCATAGTCACTGGTAGGCGGGATTCCCCAGTGAAAGTAGGTCCTACCCAAAGAGATGGGTTAGTTGTAGTAGTAGTTGTCGTAGCAGTGTAGGGCATGTCAGGCACTGCAATATCATGATGTTGCAGTGCCTGAATGGCTTGCATAATCAGTGTCACAGCCCGGAGTCAATGTAAAAAGAGTGGCGTATGTACACGGAGGTATTTATATACTGTAGACAGGTGAGGTGAAGCAGATCATCTCATCGTTGTGTCACAGACGAAGGTTAACTAGTACCACCTTGTGACGTCATTCGATGGTTACCCCTTGTGATGCAATTGGCTCACTGCGGCTGTTTTTATCTCCTAACCCCAAACAGTTGACAGTTTAAATTGTAGGCGTAGCTAGGTTAGACACAGCTAGCCAGAACTGTGTTCTCAATAAACACTTGCAGAACACACTGTGTTTTAGATTTAGCCTGGAATCTTATGCTTCTAATACTTTCACAAAGATCTACGTTGTTTAGCTTAAAAGCACCATTGTTATTACTAATTCCTTGGATTAAAATCTTATACTGCATTGAACAGCATCTGCCACTTCTCTGACCACAATATCAACTCATCTGGGTCATCCTATAGCCTCCTAGTGTCCACTTTGTCTCTATTTATTCCCTAACTAGTTGATATACATTGTAAACAGTGAAGGTCCCAACACTGACCCCTGCGACACACCATCTGTAACAGGTCCCTACTCGGAATTTTTCCAATTATAACCCACAAAATCATAACACTGTTCCAAACAAACCCTAGAACAGGTAGGGTTTGAATCCATGGCAAGTGATTTCTGAAACTCATTAATTTGTGAGTTTTAATACTCACTTGCCATGGTTTCAAACCCCACCCGTTCCGTCATCTCTCCCCATTAATGCAAACTCTCTGTTGCCTTTTGGTCAGCCTCGACGCAGAAGATAATTTCTCCTAATCCATGATCCGCTACTATCATAATCAGTCTTCTGTATGGAAGATTATCGAAGATTTTACTGAAGACTATATACACAATCTCGTATTATCTTAGTCTACAACCTTGAGTACCTTAGTGAAAAAAAATAATGAGGTGTGAACGCCCCTTTGTAAAACTGTGCTGAGATTTGCTAATCAGATATCTTCCAAGGTGGCTTATATAGCATAAGTTAATGATTCCATTAGCTTTTCCACAAATAAAGTTAAGCTGATTGGTTGATTGGTTTATGTTGTAACTTGAAGCTAAGGAACTATCAACCAGTTTGCAACGATATTAAATGTATTACTGGCACTACGAGCCACCACTCCACCTAAATGATTTTCCAGAGGCTGAGAAAGTTGCATCAAGGAAGTCCATGGTCGAGAGAAATATAATAGAATCGAGTTCCATTAAAAATTAGCTTTGTAATTACTATAAATATTATTCCAGGATTATACAAACTGGATTCATTTATAATTAATTAAATTTTGGAAGAATTTAGGATATATTCGACAAGTTAAATTATTTAAGCTCGGTCAGAATATACACAGTTTCTGACCTGACCTTGACCACCTACCATGAAGGTCAGGTGTTGTAAGCTGACCGCGAGCTGTAATCTCATATTTATATGCCTCTTGCTAATTTTTATTTTTACAGTTCCCTGATAATGTGAGAAGTCACGAAAGCCCTTGGAAGTTCACTGCCTTTTCACAGTGGTTGTTTTGCTTACTGTGATATCACCTGTTTACTGTGATCTTATTGTTTGAATATATATATATATATTATAGATATTATATATATATATATATATATTATATATATATATATATGTGTGTGTGTGTGTGTGTGTGTGTGTGTGTGTGGGTGTGTGTGTGTGTGTGTGTGTGTGTGTGTGGGTGTGTGTGTGTGTGGGGTATGTGTGTGTGTGTGTGTGTGTGTGAGTGTGTGTGTGTGTGTGGAGTGTGTGTGTGTGTGTGTGTGTGTGTGTTGTGTGTGTTTTGGTGTGTGTGTTTGTGTGTGGTGTTTTGTGTGTGTGTGTGTATTTCACTATGTTTTGTTTAGTACTAATTATTGTAAACGTATCTAAAATATTTTTAAATTTTGTATTAGGTAAATTAAGTTTGCTTGTTATAAAAAGGTCAGGTAAGTTTTCTAAGGTTCTTTTGGGTACAAAATTATAATTTTTATTATATTTTCCCGTATAAGACAAAATTATAGAAGGATAATTTTAATGGTTCTTGCTAATTGACCAGTTATTTCGGGGACTCTTAATTACATGCCATCATGATGAGCTTAATGAAGACCGGGAGCTATTCCCAACGTTCTGTTCAAGCCCATCTTTTGCCATCACGCTCCTCCATGTCAGGGCTCATATCACAACATGGGTGAGTGGGCACGCTTATTCCAAACCATGGGGGGTGGGAGTGGGCACGTCAAATATCCACACCATGAGGTGAGTGGGCAGTTTAAATACCAACATGAGGTGAGTGGGCACGCCTATTCCCAAACCTTGAGGTGAGTGGGCAGGCTCTATTCCCACCATGAGGTGAGTGGGCACGCTCTATATCCACAACCTAGGTAGTGGGGGCTCTATATCCACAACCATGAGGTGAGTGGGCAGGCTCTATATCCACAACCATGAGGTGAGTGGGCAGGCTCTGTATCCACAACCATGAGGTGAGTGGGCAGGCTCTATATCCACAACCATGAGGTGGGGTGGCAGGCTCTATATCCACAACCATGAGGTGAGGGGGCCCGGCTCTATATCCACAACCATGAGGTGAGTGGGCACGCTCTATATCCACAACCATGAGGTGAGTGGGCACGCTCTATATCCAAAACCATGAGGTGAGTGGGCAGGCTCTATTCCTCAACCATGGGGGTGGGGTGGGCAGGCTTCTTATCCAAAAACCATGAGGTGAGTGGGCAGGTTTCTGTATCCACAACCATGGGTGAGTGGGCGGCTTCTGTATCCAAACCATGAGGTGAGTGGGCAGGCTCTATATCCTCAACCATGAGGTGAGTGGGCAGGCTTCTGTATCCACAACCATGAGGTGAGTGGGCAGGCTTCTGTATCCAAAACCATGAGGTGAGTGGGCAGGCTTCTATATCCACAACCATGAGGTGAGTGGGCAGGCTTCTATATCCACAACCATGAGGTGAGTGGGCAGGCTCTATATCCTCAACCATGAGGTGAGTGGGCAGGTTTCTGTGTCCACAACCATGCGGTGAGTGGGCAGGTTCTATATCCACAACCATGAGGTGAGTGGGCAGGCTCTATATCCACAACCATGAGGTGAGTGGGTAGGCTCTATATCCACAACCATGAGGTAAGTGGGCAGGCTTCTGTATCCACAACCATGACGTGAGTGGGCAGGCTTCTGTATCCACAACTATGAGGTGAGTGGGAAGGCTCTATATCCACAACCATGAGGTGAGTGGGTAGGCTCTACATCCACAACCATGAGGTGAGTGGGCAGGCTCTATATCCACAACCATGAGGTGAGTGGGCAGGCTCTATATCCACAACCATGAGGTGAGTGGGCAGGCTCTATATCCACAACCATGAGGTGAGTGGGCAGGCTTATACCTACACCCATGGGGTGAGTGGGCAGGCTCTATTCCTCAACCATGAGGTGAGTGGGCGGGCCCTTCTGTATCCAAAAACCATGAGGTGAGTGGGCAGGCCTTCTAATCCAAACCATGGGTGAGTGGGCAGGCTTCTATATCCACAACCATGAGGTGAGTGGGCAGGCTTCTATATCCACAACCATGAGGTGAGTGGGCAGGCTTTACATCCTCAACCATGAGGTGAGTGGGCAGGTTTCTGTATCCACAACCATGAGGTGAGTGGGCAGGCTTCTGTATCCACAACCATGAGGTGAGTGGGCAGGCTTCTATATCCACAACCATGAGGTGAGTGGGCAGGCTCTATATCCACAACCATGAGGTGAGTGGGTAGGCTCTATATCCACAACCATGAGGTGAGTGGGCAGGCTTCTGTATCCACAACCATGAGGTGAGTGGGAAGGCTCCACAAAATTTGGTTAACACAAGCCTATCCGATGTTATCCTGACGCCAAAGTACTTCGAACAGGCGATAAATGACATGCCATGCACTCTGCCCAGGGGGGCCAGATCATTGGAAACTCTGGTTCATCAAGAACTGCAAGCTAAGCCCATATCAACGGCCTTTTCCATCCTATGGAGAGGGAGCATGACCAAACCAGGGGGTCCGTCCCCACAGTTACTTAAAACAACAGACATAGCCCCAACTCCACCAAAGGGGGCAGTAAAGCAACAGCAAAGAACTACGACCAATAGCACACTAAAACATCCCATATCATAAAAATCTTGAAAGGTGTCCTAAGAAGCAAGATCCACCACGCATCTAGAAACCAATCAGTTCACAACCCCAGGGCAACAATGGGTTTCAGAACAGGTCGTCTGTCTGTCTCAACTATTGGATCACTTCGACAAGGTCCTATATGCACTAGAGACAAAAAGAATGAAGATGTAATATATTCAGACTTGCAAAAGCCTTCGACAAGTGTGACCAGGCGTAATAGCGCACAAAATGCGTGCTAAAGGAAATAACAGGGAAAAGTCGGTCGATGGATCTATAATTTCATCACAAACAGATAAACAGAGAGTAGTCGTCAACAGGAGTAAGTCCCGGAGGCGCGGGGGCAGCTACGGTGTGAAAAGCTTCTGTTCCACAAGGCAACAGTACTCGCGCTCCCATTGGTCCTTCATCCTCATATCCGACATAGACAAGGTTGTCAGCCACAGCACCTGTTGTCTTCCCTTGCAGATGACACCCGAATCTGCATGACAGCTGTCTCCCTTTCCATTGCGCAGATACACGGCCCAAAGGCTCCAGGCGGACATCAACAAATCTTTCAGTGGGCTGCAGAAAACAATATGAAGTTCAAACGATGAGAAATTTCAATTACTCAGATATGGTAAAAATGAAGGAAATTAAATCTTCATCAGTGTACAAAAAAATTCTGGCACAAAATAGAGCGAAACACAAACGTCAAAGACCTGGGAGGAGTGATCATTGTCGGAGGTTCTTCTCCTTCAAGGACCCATAACACTGTTTCAATCGCTTCTGCCTAGAAAAATGACAGGATGGATAATTGAGAACTTCAAAAACTAGGGAGGCCAAAGCCATGATGACACTCTTCAGGTAACTTGTTTCTATCTAGGCTGGAATATTGCTTGACCACACTAAACAGCACTTTCAGGCAGGTGAAATTGTCTGACTAGAAAATGTACAGGAACTTCACGGCGCGCCATAACGGAGATGGAAAACACCTCATATTACTGGGAGCGCCTTGAGGTTTCTATACCTGTATTCCTGGAACGCAGACGGGAGAGATACATGTTTATATACACCTGGAAAATCCTCGGAGGGGGGGGGGGACTAGTACCGAACTTCACACGAAAATCACTCAACTATCGAAAGACAAAAAAGACTTGGCAGACGATGCACCATCCCCCCAATGTTAAGCAGGGGTGTGTCTCTAGCACGTAAGAGACATACAATAGTCGTGTCAGGGGCGCCGAGGGTCTGTTCAACTGCTCCCAGCACACATAAGGGGATTTCCAACAGACCCCTGGCAGTCTGCAAGTGCATTGGAACAAGACATAAAGTCGGATTCCTGATCAGCGGGCTGTGGCTCGTACGTTGGGTTTGCGTGCAGCCAGCAGCGGCACCCTGGTTGATCAGGCTCTGATCCACCAGGAGGCCTTGGTCAGTCAGACCTGGGCCCCGCGGCGCCGAGGGGTTGACCCCGCGGAACTTCTCCAGGTAAACAACCATGAGGTGAGTGGGCAGGCTCTATACCTACAACCATGAGGTGAGTGAGCATGCTCTATATCCATAACCATGAGGTGAGTGGGAAGGCTTCTGTATCCACAACCATGAGGTGAGTGGGCAGGCTCTATATCCACAACCATGACGTGAGTGGGCAGGCTTCTGTATCCACAACCATGAGGTGAGTGGGCAGGCTATATATACCACAACCATGAGGCGAGTCGGGGCTAGGCTTTTTTTCTGGTTTTTATCCACAACCATGAGGTTGAGTGGGCAGGCTCTATATCCCAGCAACCTATGTGGTGAGTGGGCAGGCTTCTGTAGCCACAACCATGAGTGAATAGTGGGCAGGCTCTATTCCACAACCATGTGGTGTGTGGCAGGCTTCTGTATCCACAACCATGAAGGTGTGTGGGCAGGATTCTTATCCACAACTATGAGGTGAGTGGAAGGATTATATCCACAAACCATGAGGTGAGTGGGTAGGGCTCTATGTCCACAACCATGAGGCGAGTGGGCAGGGCTCATATTCCAACAAAACCATGATGTGAGAGTGGGCAGGCTTTCTGTATCCACAACCCATGAGAGTGATGTGAGGGGGCAGGCTTCTGTAATCCACAACCATGAGGTGAGTGGGCAAGGCTTTATATCAGACACATGAGGTTGGGTGGGCCAGGCCTCTTATCCACAACAATTGTGGTGAAGTGGGTCAGGCTGTCTATATCCACACCTTGAGGGTGAGTGGGCAGGCTTCTGTTGTCTACAAACCATGAGGGTGGTGTGGGCAGGCTTCTGTATCCACATCCATGAGTAGTGAGTGGGCAGGACTTCTATATCCACAACCATGCCAGTTGAGTGAGCAGGTTTCCGTTATTCCACACCCATGAGGTGAGTGGGCAGGGCTCTATACCACAACCATGAGGTGAGTGGGCAGGCTTCTGTATCCACAACCATGAGGTGAGTGGGCAGGCTTCTATATCCACAACCATGAGGTGAGTGGGCAGGCTTCTGTATCCACAACCATGAGGTGAGTGGGCAGGCTTCTGTATCCACAACCATGAGGTGAGTGGGCAGGCTCTAAATCACATCCATGAGGTTGAGTGGGCAGGCTCTAAATCCACAAACCATGAGGTGGAGTGGCAGGCTCTAAATCCACATCCTTGAGTGTGGAGTGGGCAGGCTCTATATCCACATCTCATGAGGTGAGTGGGCAGAGGCGCACTACGTCCACATCCATGAGGTGAGTGGGGCAGGCTCTAAATCCCATCCAACCCTGAGGTTGGAGTGGGCAGGCTCTATATCCACAGCCATGTAGGTGGATTGGGCAGGCTCTAAATCCACATTCCATGAGGTGAGTGGCGGCAGGCTCTATATCCGCACATCCATTGTAGGTGAAGTGGGGGCAGGCCTGACACAAGAAGGCTGACATAGAAAGGCTGACACAGAAGGCTGACACAGTGACACAGAAGGCTGACACAGGAAGGCTGGACTAGAAGATGACACAGAAGACTGACACAGAAGGCTGACCACAGAAGGCTGACACAGAGGCTTGTCACAGAAGGCTGACCAGTTGCTTACACAGATGACACAAGATGACACAGAGACACAAGAAGGCTGAACAGAAGGCTGACATAGAAGGTGACACAGAAGACTGACACAGAAGGCTGACACAGAAGGCTGACACAGAAGGCTGACACAGAAGACTGACACAGAAGGCTGACACAGAAGGCTGACACAGAGGCTGTCACAGAAGGCTGACACAGAAGGCTGACACAGAAGGCTGACAC